AGATTTACTTAATGCAGGTGCTCTGAATACTCAGTGAAAAGTGTCCAGTACGTGAATACAAAACAAATGTAGCCTGTATGGCTAAGCAGTCTGAGCTTCCCAAGATCAGGGACTCCAGAAAATGGGAGTTCTGTTTATATGTGTAGGTGGGAACATTCAAGGAGCAGGTAAAGCCTTGCTGCATTCATCTGCATTGGTAAATTTCCACTGAATTAATGAGGAATATGTTTGTCACTAGAGGCATGAACAATATCTTTCTGCTGTTTATAGAATAAAAGGTCTGATTGTTTTGAAACCATTCCTCCTTGCTGCTTCTTGGACCCTCCCTCCAGCAGTATTTTACCTGTGGAAAAGTAGGCATTGTGTTTGAAGAAGGGTTAAGTATGAACGGGTCGCACTGACAATAAGCAAGGTATAAACAGAACTGACAGTCTTTGCTGTCTTTTTGTCACACATACGCAGCAAATGCCATAGTTTTCCATTTCTGAAAAGATGCTATGTTGAGTTTTGCTAAAGAAGAAAAAAGTTTGGAGGGAAAGCAAACACTCTTGGATGGAGAAGGTATGTGCTTAGTTATCTCAGACCACACACTTCACAATTGCTCTTCAGAATGACGTATGTAAGCCTAAAGTGAGAAAGCACATTTAAAGAACTGATGACGTCCCCACTTCTATTGCAACACGCAATTTAAAAAATTGTCTAAAAGTATAGTTCATAAAATCTAAACCAGAGTAATCAGTATGTGTATTGTTATTTTTCTGGAGTAATAAATATCAACACAAAGTATATAACAGACTCTATTTGCTAAGTAATTCCTTTTCCAATGCAGGCATAGCATTATTAGTATTAATCACATAGATAACTGATTGCAGGAGCAAGGACTCCTAGATATGAATTTTCTAAGATTTCAGCGAGTATTACATTTCAACTGCATTTCAAGAAATATTTTGCTCATCCTTGCCAATGATGACATAAAGTGATTTACTGGAGAAAAATGTATTATGTAATAAACGAAACAACATTTAGTCTTAGTTTCAGCATCTAATTATTATGCTCTGTCCAACACTGCAATACTAGAAACAACTCTTTAAAAAAAAAGGTCATTAAAAGCAGCAGGTAAATAACAGCACAGCTGTTTTCTTTCATAAACACCTTTAACGACTAAGCCTTCTAATGTTATTTTTGAAATTGCCACATTCACCAAGCACCTTAAGTTATTAACAGCTTGTCTGCCTCTGGCATGAAAAAACATCTCACTGAAATAAAGTGATCCTTATATTCCTACACTCCAAAACTATAAATGTTAACACAGAAAAAAAAAACCTCGCAACAACAACAACAGCAGAAGTACACAAAAGGGAATAGATTAGTTCTGATGCTGTGCCTATGAAGTTAACGTGTTAGAGACTATATATAATGCATAGACCCAATGATACATTATTTTGACACAGAACATGCTTTTTTTTTTGGAGGGTTTTGGCATGGTTCTCCCTATGGGTAGAATTTACAGGACATGTATATATGAGTCTGGATTCCCTGTCAGTGAGGAAGTATCTAAAAGCCAGGCATTGTCTCACCTAGCTCCTCTGCCACCTCAGCCATCAGGTCCAGATTCAGATGGACTCATCCAAAATCGCACTAACTTCCACTTTCTCTAGCTCTGTGGGATGATACGTGGTGGGACATTAACATTTGAGAGGCACTGAGATGCTCAGGATGCCATAAAAAGCTGCTGAACTTCCTAAGCAAGCACAAGGGACAGGCAGAGGGACCTCGAAGCTACGGCTTGTTGTTAAAGTGCTGATCCTTTCATGTGTTACAGGGCAAAACAGTGAAAATGGAACATTATTTAAATTAAGAAAAAAAATGCACCACAGACACCGTATCACTAAGAAAGCCAGTAACTTTACTGATTTGTCTGCAAAATACAAATTATACCTTATTTCCAGCAGGAGAATCTTTTGAAATTTTCCCATTTTTGTTCACTACAGACAGCTGAATTAAGTCCCTTGAGATACACAGATGTGGTTTAACTTAGTTATAACATCTTGTCATCTAGTGGCGACAAAGTCCAGCTTATGCCGCTGTGAGCCTCTACTTTAATATTTGTTGCAAATGCTTGTATGCTCCCATTTACAAGCTATTTTGTTATCACCATTGTTTTATGGAAGCAAATCCCCATGAAAGAGAAGAAAAAAAGAAAAAAAGGATACAACAAACCATCTGAAGCAATCCAAGTGTAATGCCTGCGGTAACCCAGGTCTGGTATTAGTTACTCCACAAAAGACTCTGGTACTGCATTTTTTATTTTTTTATTTTAATGAGTTACTTAACTGACCATTTTTGAATCAAACTGAGGTACGGATCAGTCTGAGGTATGATAAGGGAAGGTAGAAATGCAACACCTGATTATGAAAATAATCAAACCGTTACTTTTGATGCAGAAGGTCTGTGGCTCAAAGCTTGGATTGCTCCACATCTTTGGTTAAAATATATTAACAAAAGCCTTTTATTACATCTACAGTCTGAAGCATTCTAACAGACACTAATGTTCCATCAGTCCTTCAAGAGACCTGTAGTGGCAGGAAATTAATGCCATGTAACTGACGACATCACAGCAGATGGCACAAACAGGAACAGATGAAGTATGCCATGTTTAGGCAACAGCCTTTATTGAGGTTTCAAGTGGCTTTTAAAAAATTACAAAGCATTTACCTTCAAGGCGAAGGAAGAAGGAAAACAAAACAGCTCTGTTAGGACTATAGATAAAAGAGGGTATATAGGATAACACATACAATACAAAAGGGTTGACATCCTTGAAAACAGTCTATGAGTTCTTTTATTCTTACGCTAGCTTTACCTGAAAAAGATCTGAGGACAACAGATATTTTTATATTATTCATTAAAAACTGCTAAATTCCTCTTCTGGGAAAAATATAAGCCATTTTGTTATAAAACACAACTTTTGAAAAACACTGAAATGACAAAAGCTTTACTGCGAATGGCTCAATGCATACAATATACAGGTTGTGCAGATAGGGTATATCATATAATTGTCACCAGCAATTAAACACTAACTGACAACACCTTTTAATAGAGGTTAGCTTAGCTATAACAATACTTGCAGATGTCTAGAATGCCACTTCAGGTGTTTGAACTTACAATTAAGAATGTTGCCTAAAACATTATATAGCATGGGTTAAGGTAAAGTAAATGTTAATACTCTTTCAGGGCTCTGCCCCAAACTCCTTAAATACAAAGGAATCACACAATAAACCCAAATTAGCTTTGCAAATACAATAAATGGTAAGGTACAGATAAAGTAACAAGAAAGGTAGACAGTTATATTTTACAGAAAGTGACTTCACAATCAAAGTTGTGCTTCTTATCATTAGATCAGTTTGCAAATATGCATTATCCCCCACATTTTTGCCAGTATAAGTTAGTTGCCCTCTGCAGCAGGAACAAGAGGGACAGCTGGCATTTATTTTCACGTGATTCTGTTCTACTTGTGTTTATACAAAAATCACTGTCAGAGTTAATATAAATTGCCCAGGCAATACTTTTCACGCTACTTTCTGCTTAGTTACTTGCAGTAATATATTACACTGCATCTCGTTAAATACGATATCTTTCCTTTTTCATGCGTTGCTGAGGCAAACCGCAAGGTAAACTATTAATATGGCTATTCTTCATATATCAATAGACCAAATCCCCTTCCCCACTGACAAGTTTTTACTACAATACCGATAAAGTTGTATTTTTTCTTGAAATGACAAGGTACATTTGTGATATAATTGCATATTTTTGACACACCAAAGTTTAAAATTCTCAGAAGAGAATACGAATACAGGTTCGTCTGAAGGTGAAGAAAGTGGTTTCAAAAACAGTTTTTTTTGTGTTTTAAAATTAATTGTGGGCCCCATTTTACCTTTTTTTTTTTTTTGTGTTTTGTTTTGTTTTGGTTTTTTTTGGTTGTTTTTTTTTTTTTTTTATAACATGCGTATCTTTTTCTTTACCCTGCAGATTGCTACACGAGATAAGATGGATGCATTAGTAGCACAGTATTCTGCTTATAGAGTTTCCAGATTATGCACTAGCCCCTGCACAGCTGAGAGTGCCTGTAAGGCAGGCTTCTATAAAGTCATGGTAAGTGAAAAGCATATGCCCTTATGCACACTGTAGTCTGTTCATCATTCTTTTCTACAGAGAGGTACACTCTGTCATTGAGCAGTGCACAGCAACTGCATGTTTAGGTGGGAAATAGAGTGTGGATTTCCCTTAACAAAATATTCGGTGTTGATATTTAGCTTTTGCAGCTATGTCCTTCATCATAGTGTCGATGAACGTAGGTGAGAGCTGGAAGGACTCTTGGAAAAGGAGAAATATTACAGTTTGACACTAACATTTTGCTTAAACATTTTTTCCCTCCAACAGAAAGATTAAACTGAAACATCTGAATACACCATTTTCTTCTAATGAACAAGAGGGACAAAGAGGGACATAAAGAAATGATACATTCCCTCTGGTCCAGCTATTTTAGTCAAAGAAACAATACGAGGCAGGAGAAAATGTGGATGCCGTACACTGAAGTAAATCTTTATTGGGTGCAAACACACAGGGAGCGTTGTTCAACAACATGCCCACTGTGAGACGCGACCGCAGAGGTCCATGAGAACCAGGGACCTGATGGCCACTATTGGCTGTGTAAGATCAGTCAGCTTTTGAATGGTTCTTTGATTGGCAATCTCTCTAACAGTTTTAAACCTGTGAGAGAGGGGCGTAATCTTTATAGCAGGCACGTCTGTGCCAGTCCCTCCCTTTAACTCTCCCTACTGCTTCTGCAAATATTCACCTGCACTCACGTGACTGACAGCCGTTAGAGCTGTATATCCAATTCTGACAGGCAGAATACCAGCTTCATTGATGAGAAAGGGCCAAGTTACGCCACTTTGTCATTTAACCCATGGAAAACTACAAGATACGCAGGATGTTAAGTAATAGGAGGGCCCTTAACTTGTTACAATGCACAAAACAGCATGAAAGAACTAATCAGTATATACAATGGATCGCAGTTCACCCAACTGATTGTAAAATGCTGTATTAAAATGATTTAAGTTGTTACACCATGGGTAAATTCTAACTTTTTACAGATCAGTCTTTCAACAGCTGACTTCGATCTGTAAAATGTATACCCAGTAAAAGAAAACTGAAAGAAAATATTTAAATGTGCAAGTGCACAAATATAATTCCCCACTATTAAGATAACAAAAACTTTTGCTATTACCATAATTATTATATATATTAGAAAGCTATACACAAGCATGTTAATTTCACAGATTTTTTTAAAAGATTCTTAATATTTTATATAATTAGAAATACACATTTCAAAAACAAAACTTCTGCAAAGAGAAAACAGTTATCTTGGTTAGCAAAGCATGGAGTTTTTCATGGCTTAGGGTAGTGCTTTCTATACAAAAAGTCCTTTTCGTTTGTTTCTTCAGGACTGTTTAAAAGATTAGCGAAGCTATCAAGGAAAAAAGAACACATTTTGGCTTAAGGAAACTACAAAAGCCACAAATGCTTTGCAAACTCTGTCTTACTTTTTAATATGAAAATAAGCAAAATGTAATGTACATATTTTTATATTTTTTTTTTATTTAGTAAGTGATGCAGACCCAGAATTTTTAAAATTAAATATGTTAGCCCTCGAACTCAACATTTTTACAAGTATGGTCCTCTTTAAATGTTTTGATCCTTTTTAACTGAGTGCCATACTCTAATGATATGCCTGCATGTTTGTGAGCATTTTCGGTATGTCAGGTGACCCAGTCTCTTTCTACCATCAATTCACGGCCACCCAACCGCTGGGTCTGTCAAAACATCTGTACATTTTCTATATGTTGCATAACAGCTGCTTTCTCTCTCAGTAAAGATCTGCCATTTCTGGCAAATGTTTTCCTTTTGTCTATTTACATGTAAATAACGTTGAACCTGCAACATGACACTATCTATTGTAACATACATTTTGCAAGGGAGCACAACAGTGAAAAGAAGTTAGCCTTAAAATCTATTTTGTACAAGTGTTCTGTTGTACAACTCAAGTGCTAAGCTTATCTCAGCATTTCTGTTTATCCTTATACTGTATCACTGAGGCAATTTAAAAGTACTTTTACAAAACAGAGTACCTGACTTTTTTTTTTTTCCACACACGGCACATATAATGCATATCGACCCCCCCTCCCCCATTAAGGTATAGCACACACACACTGCAAGAAAAAAAAACCTAATAGGTAATAAAGTTATCATGTAGCCCATCCTTCAGAGAGCCGCATGCGCTTGACAGAGGGGCTTTCCCTTTCGTCCGGCGAAGGTCTGGTGAGTCCAATGGGGGAGTGGAATTCATTCCGGTGATCTTCTCGGTCACTTCCATCATAGGAACTGCTACAGCTGCTCAAACTGTCAACAGGAGATCTCCCCGCCTCATGGCGCGTGTGCTGTGGGTATCTCGAGGGTGTGGTGGTACGGTCTCTAGGAGGAGAAACAGGTTCTGACTTGATGTTGAGGCTTTGAGTAGAAGGCAGGGAGAGATTTGTACTCTGAGATAAATGAGTGCTAGTGCAAGCTCTGTAGGAGGAAAGGAAACCCAGTTACAGACGGAGGAGGCATGGAGCCCCCAGATATGCACAAACACTCACACAAAACACCAGTGTAAAGGCTCGCGCATGCAGAGAGCATGAGGACTGTTTCCTGGGCAGGGTTCACAAATTCAAAGAGATGAAAGCATCACAACAAATGCGGTCCGCTTGAGCGGGACTTGCCCTTGGTTTGAAAGGAAGTCTCGCTTTCAGTCTCTCTTTCTCTCCTCTTTTTGACTCAAGTGTCACAACAAATTTTGGAAGGCGAGCCTTTGCACTGTTGGAACCACCTGCAGGTTTCTTTGTAACTAATGCTTGTGTGTGTGTATGCACCGGCTGAGACAGGGGAGGCACGGACTTTCTGCTGGGATTAATCCAATTAGTTTGAATGCGCCCAGCTATTTTTATTGCTGTTCATTTTGACATGCGACTTCAGATGCAAAACAGAAACAAAAGTTTGGGCCAGGTACTTTTTATATCTTTCAGAATAGAGTTGAAATTACCGGTACTAGGATTGACACTAATAAAATACCACAGGCAGGTGAGGATTTAGATATGATTTTATCATTTAAATCTATGAATTCATAACTCAATCCAGAATGCTTTTGAATAAACTACAGAAGAGAAGCTGAAGAGTAGTGGAAGATGTCAGAGGATCGTACTGTTTGCCTGTAGGAGAGCCCGAATCAGAGGATGCTCCTAGCAAGAGAAACTGCTACCCTAAAGCTTTTCCAAAGGCAAGCTGTATAACTATTCGAAGTTAATTTTGTTTCTGTGCATGTTTGTGGGCAGGTATTGGCAGAGGAAAGCTGAAAGGCAGGGAGGAGATGAAACACTGAGAATGTGCTTTATATCTACGGGATAAATCAGATCACTTGCATCTACAGGATGTTTTGTACAAAAGCACCATCTCCTGGTAAAACCTGGCTTTTCTCTTCGTTATTAAAATAGCCTTCTCAACACACGGTTCCCATGATGTTCCACTTCAGGGACCATCTGCTAGGCTGAAGTTAGTGTTTAACCCCAGAGACACAGTTCCAAGGTTTCTACTTGTGAATATTTATACAGGGGGACACTGGAGGCAGTAAATGGCAACAGACCCATTGGCCTCACAACATTTTAGCCCAAAGGGATATGCAGGCGTTTTTACTGCAAGCAGAAGAAATACTGGGATTTGGATTAATTTTTAAGTATGTAGAAGAAACAATTAAGTTTAGATGTGGTCTTTTCATTTATTGAAACACTGCACTTTTCCTGATACCTCATCAACTGGGAGTTGTTCTTTACTTAAGCAACTTTTACTACAACTTTGATGAAAGACAATATGTTGTTTTCTTTTGTTCTGACAGATTTAAAATGGAACTATAAGGCTTCAATATCGAATGATATCAACTGCCTTTATCAGGAATTATTGCAGTCTTTAATAAAGGATGGATCTTGTTAGAAAACAGGATGTTCTACCTCCAATTGTTTTTATCTACACTTTATTCCTATACAGATGAATGTGCCAAATCTGCAATGATTCCTGTCATGTCACAGAGTCTGTGAGTAATAGCCCTCACAGCAGCAAATGCAGGCATTTTTTTTTTTTTGACAAAGAGGATGTTTTCTTTGCTTTTGTAACAATTAAATTAACATATATAAGAAACGCTAAATATCAGAATTTGTCATTTCAATTTAGTAAAATATTCCACTCTTTTCCTGAAAACTTGCTGAAAAGAATCCAACAAGAATCAAAAAAAGTTCCTTTTTTTTTTTTTTTGCTTTTCATTTCCAGTGACTTAACTTTTCAGTTGCTTAGGGGGTGGTAAGACTTCACCTGGGAAAACAAGCTATTAGTTTAGAATGTATGATAGGATTTTATATTATTTTAGATGCCAAGCTTATAGCTAAACCTGAGAGTCCCACAATAAATGATGGTGGAGCCTGGGGATTTGATTGAGAAGTGTTTGATGTGAGCAGATGACATGTCAGTTTGCAAAGCTGCGGACAGCTAAAAAACCCATGCTAGTTAAAACCAACCATATTCAGTCAAATTTGTTCACATGGAATATACTCGCATTCCATTGTGTGACAGCCCCAAAAGGAAGAAATCCAGAGGGATAAGCTGCAATTTCAATGAAATAGAGCTAGTATTGCTATACTGCAATGTTGCTTTTTTAACAGTGTTTCTAAAGTCAGTACAAAAAAGTATTTCTGTGGACTTTTCTTTAGATTCCTCCTGATTCATCAGAAGGGTTATGTAAATACCTGGCAGACAGATTTGTGGCAGTTTTAAAAATGCTACAGGTTGATCCGCATTCTGAACACTTTGTAAACCGACAAAAGGTTACTGACGTTTTGGCAAGTGAGGACTAATTTTTTGAGGTTTAAATCAATATAAATATATTAAAGCAATTATTTTGAGTCATTGTTCAAAAATTTTTTTTCCTTTTCAAATATAGTCTTTTCCTGCTAAAACTATTTCCAAATTTTAATATCTGTTTTTTGATGCATTTCTTTACAATTTTCTGAAACATTTTTATGAGGATCTCGTGTAAGTTAAAATGGTCCATTACAAGGGAAACCTACTGTTACACATAGATGTGAATGGTGAAATAGAACATACTTAGGTGCAGTTTTTAAACCCATATTCTAAGCAGAGGATTGACTTCTATTTAGATCAGAAGCTGTATTGTAAAAATTATAATTCTGCCTGCTGCAAAATGATTTCTTTTCATATATGCATGTGTGTGAGTGTAGCAACAGCTCTGTATATCTATAGTATCAATGTATATTTTACACTATTGCTGCATATAACTATGGAAATGTGGTTCAGGCATGCCCTGTTTTCATAATTTGAAACCCACACTAAGTGCACTGGAAAACAAACAGTTTTTGAATATGGAAAATCCACAGAGAAAATAAAGCAAATGACTTCAAAGGATTGTGTATCATCATAAGCACTCAATAAGTGCCATGCAGTCCACCCATGGTAACATAATCACCTTCTTCATATGTTTATTGAAAATAATTACTTTTACGGGGACAATGAAGAAAACTGATGTTTCAGTTTCGCACAGCAGTTCCTATTGAGCCCAGTACAGTGAAAAATGTGATGTTCATTTAGAACACACCAGCCACGTGGGAGAAATGCTGGTTCCTATCTGGGTTCAACACTGCACAACTGCACAGTTCTGCTGTGTAAGAGGTGGGAAGCAAGTCAGGATGCAATGAGCTTGAAAGTGAGTGTAGTCTGTGCTGATGCCAGTGAGATCAGTTCTGTGTGTGTGTCTATCTGTTCGGATCTCCAACTGATGTGGAAGCTCAGCATGCACAGATAGAAGTGCAGGTCTGAGGAGGTGATGAGTGAGGACATGAACATGCACCAGGTAGGTTTTTACAGAGAGAGAAAGTGGTCTATTGAAGGAAGAAAGAGCCTCACATACCTTTTCCTTTATGCCCACACTTGCTTCTCTAAATTACTTCCTCACTTCATATAATTTTCCCCATAAATATATATATATAAGGAACCACTGAAAATTCATGGCAAAATTTAGTTACGTATCTTTAGTTACGTGCTAATCTGTAACTAAGAAAATAGAGGATATTTTTGACTTGCTAGCAATGCAAACTTCTCCCTCCCCTCTGTTTTTCTTTTAGGTAAAAACACAGTAGGTTTTAAAATATTTTTTAATTAATGTAAAGGCAGAATAAGAATTTCTGTGTCAAGATATTTTGGCTAGCTTTCACATGTTAAGGTCTACACTTTAAAAAGAAATTTCTAAATGAAGAATAACATGAAACTGAAACACTGGAACATCTTATTTACAACGGTGGCATAAAAAAAAAGGCTCAATACTAAATATATAAGGCTTTTATTCAGAACAAGGAAGTTGGCAGAACTGATGTGAATTCACAAAACAATATCACTGCATCTAAATATTTCAGTAAAAATGATTCAATGATGAATATTTGCCCATATCTAGCTACAGCTATTACTTAATGAAAATTAATCATTGCTAAGTAAAAAGCTTGCTGTGTAAGAGTCACAGAAAAAGTCAACAATACACATGAATTTGGACAATTTTTTTTTGTGCAGGTGGGTAAAATTTTGGAGAAACATCTTTTACATAAATAATTATCTATCCTGAAAAGTCTTCAGGTGAAATACTGTTTCTATGTTTTAACTTATGTTTTAGGAAAGCCAAAATTTCACCTGGAGATGATAAAGAAGAAAAGATTCTCTCTTAGACTGGGAAATATGGATGAAAGAAAACATTTTCCATATAATGGACTGGTGCCTAAGAAATTGAGATAATTTATTTTGGAGTTTGGAACCGATTTCACTTCTGGTTAATAGCAATTAACTTCTGTTAGACTCTTTGGTCTGTGTTAGATAAGCAGTAACCCTCTCTGTAAGAGACATTGCAGCAATATTGAGACATGATCTCAAAGTCTGAGGAGGAACTGATTTTCAATAGAATTTGTGTGTGTTTTTTCCAGATGTCGGCCTAGTTAAAAGACCATGAAAGTACTATTTTGCTTTTTAACCCAAAAAGTTGAAAAGTCTGACTCATTTTAATGTCCCAAACATATCAAACCAGGCTCTACATTGTTAACCTATTGACCAGGCTCAGCAAAAGGCCAAAAGCTGTGCAGATAGCGAAAGTGAACTAATCCTGTGTCCTCAGGTATTTGTCCTCAAGCCCACTGGTACTAATGTGGTGACTACTTGGAGAGTCAACATGAAGAGTTAGGAGTTAGGTTGTAGAGATCTTCTCCAATTATTTTAAAGATGGTTCTGAGAGTGCTGCTGAAATCATTGGGGACTTATCTGGAGCAAGCTAGTAAGTCTAACCATACCCTATTTTATTACTAATCATATTCTTCTGCCGTGTGTTGAGGAAACAGAGCTGGTTTTCACCTTTAGGCTTCGGTGAAAAACAAAACCTGCTGGAGAACAAGGATGTCTCTTCCAGTAACTCTGTTTTCTCACAGGTCTTTACAGCCCACTGTTACCAATGAACATCTCACAGTTGCGAAATTATTCAAGCATATGAGCTCACCCAGCACAGGGATTTGGGTTGTCAAACCCTTTGTAGATGTATTTTCTCAAATACCTGCGGATGACTATAATTTCGAGTGATTGTTTTAATCTTCCTGCAAATTCTAGCTCAGGTTGACATGGACTGAATATGTTCTGTATAATTTCGCGTTTTTCAACTAATCCAAAAGGTAGCACAGGTACTTTTGCATGTATAATTCAGTGACTAAAATAAAATAAAGAAATGCATATAATTTTCTGCAGAGAAAGAAGACTTCTCCAGAACTGTCAGTGAAGCAGCTTTCATAGCTGAATTCATTTACAAATTGCTGAAAGAATAATAATAATAAAAATAGCAACTCAGAATGTATTCCACCAGCCACAGCCATTACACTTAGACATTCTGTGATATGAATTAGAAACAGATGACGATGTGTGACACATCTGAAAAGGCATGTAGTTAGTTTAGGATTTAATTTATACTTTTTTGGTTAACCAAATAGCCTTATTACATTCTTTGGTACACCACTGAAAACAATCAGCTTATTGTAAGGTTATACATTGATATCTAACATGTGAGTTTTCAATTTATTTGAGACTTTATGTCTTTAGTTGTACAGTTAGCCTGATTGTTGCTTCAGAAACAGTGCCAACTTGAAAAGAAAATAGAAGTGTAAGATGAAGGTATTAAGACTATTTTTTCTGTTACAGCAACTATTTCAGTTGTATGTTTTTATGTAGTTACTATCTATATATGCTTATTCATATAGAAATGAGGTTTAAAACATTTTTGTTTCCTCTGAAGCACTTGTATAGTGGTCTTTTAAAAACCTAAACTCTCTGTACATGGTAAAGAAACTACATTAAGTTACAAAAAGTGGTCAGATAAATTAGAAGGAGAGTTTTGAAGTTTGAGCCACATTTAGAGTATTAAATAGTTTTATGTTATGGCAATCATCTCGCAAAAAAAATAAGTGCATATGTGCAACACCTCCTTCTGAAAAAAAAAAAAAGAGTTTACTTTTCAAATGCGTATGAATTAAATGTCTCCTCATAAATACACCCCAGCTGTTTTCAGCTTCTATTTTTGTGATGAAAATATCTAAAATTCAAACATGTCTAGCCATACCTTAGGCTGCGTGTGCTGGTGAGTGCCTATGGTCTTAGTTGATAGAAATTGCAGACACCAGGATTTTTGAAAATCATACTGCTAAAGTTCCCTGCAATGGGCCAATAGGTTGCTTTTTCAAGAACGCATTAGCTGACTTCCCTGTGTGAATCGTCACACCTTTGAAAATCCTGAAATGATTTAGCAGTGCGCTTCACCAGACTTGGCTAAACGTATTGAAATTAGCCACTAGAGGGCACGAACATCTATCCTCCTCAACACAGGCAAACCGCCATGAGTTTTGAGGGCTTACAGTCCTTAAGCCTAATTATGTTATTTGCTTGTAGAAAACATTTCCAAAGAAACGAAACTTAAACGTCAGAGCTGAGCAGAATGGAGTATGTGATTATTATATAAGGTTAAGGCTTAATCTCTGGTCAAATCATTATGTCATTCTTACTTGATTAAAAATACTTAGAAACATTTAAAATTTACTGTAAATGTGCTACAGTAACTGGAAATAAAAAGCATAAACGGTAAAATACAGCAACAGCACAGTATAAGTGTTCAGTTTGGTCTTTTGTAGTGAAATAAAATGCAGTTCAAAGAAATAAAGATTAAAACATGAACAGTAGTCTTTACTACACTACTGAGAAAATGTCATGGATACGGAATACTTCATTGTAGCTACCTAACAAACTTTTGATGAAATATGTAGTTCCAGTTTTGGGAAATGGAGCTCTTACAGATATTTAACAGTGTGCTGATATGTTGTCTTGATATACTTCAGATTTGGGATTACTGGGGAGATTGAATTCACTGTAGAACAATAAAATAAAGAAAACACTGCTTACCCCAATTGACTGAGGGCAGATGGTGGCATGTTATGTAGGTGTTGCTGTTGCCAGCCAGTCACAGAACCAAGATGAAGAGCACTGGCTGTATTAAACCCAGAGAGAGATGATATATCTGCACTACTCAGAGAATATTCTAGATTTGAAAACAGAAAAGGCAATAATTAAAAGAGAATTAAAGAGGAAGCAATTAAACGATAACTAGCATCGTAATTTTCAGATGTCACTTTAAAAGCCTTTTAATTTTAATTACACCAATCACACTAAGTTGCAGCAGGGAAACTAGACCTTCCTCTTCCCTCAACTCATTAACTTGGGAGCAAATAATGCACTAATAATTATTCTGTAGTTTAGCAGGGCTTTTCTGGATCTGAATGATCCAAAGCATTCTTAGCCTGTATATCCACCATAAGTACAGATGCACTCTCACAGAGTCAAAGATGTGAAAAACATAATAATATTTCAGTTATAGTCTTCTTGCAGAACCCAGCAGGCAGCCCATGTCTGAACAACGCACGACTCCTTTAATGGATCTGTACACTAGCAGGCTCTATACAGCAGCAGTGTGCAATGAGAACTGGAAAGGATCTCTTGAGCCTTCATTTCTAGTCTTTCACAGGTAACTGTATTATTAAACTCTGTTTTGAAGCCCGTGAAGCTGCTTGCTCCCACTACCCTTACGACTCTAGGAAGATGCACTCAAATACATGAAATTACCTGTGGTATTAAGAGATTAAGAAATGTCTTTTAAGTTACATGTTTTATTAAAGCCAATGAAAGAAAGCTATCAAAGCAGTTTTGCATTCGAACAAAGTAGCTACCTTTTAAATAGATATATCTCAAGTTAGTGACAGATACAGAATAAGTAGATGCTGTGCAAAAGCATATCAAACATGAATTTTTCAGTTTCCCCAACAAATGTTAGCTAATCCATTAGTACTGAGATAGACATTTGTCAGCATCTTGCACCTCCCCCACCCTTTACATCTTGCACCCATACTTACCAGTACCATATGTTGTTGAGATGGCTGATGGGTATCCTCCCATCCCTTGCCCTGGTAGAGTAGGAGTTGCTACGGAAACCACTGGAGTAGCCAATGACTGAGCAGACTGGGAGTTATTTATCCTCTGATTCTTTTAAAGTAAGTAAAATAAACATATTATTGACTAGTTTTAAGTTAGCTGTGTGTATTAACTTTCTGGGTATATTTTGTGCATGAGAAATACTGGCTGACACAAATTTCTAGAAATTAATCATTTAACATGTGGCTTTTATGAACTCTGCCAACCCTATCATTTACAAGCCTTCAAGAGACCAGTTGTCACCATAGTAACCCATTACATCAGTATCTCCTAGGTAACTGAACTAGTAACAAGTAAGATTACTTTTATTGTGGGTAGATGAACAGATTGTGTGAAAAACTAATGAAATATGTAGACTCTATTCCCATTGTTTTCCTTTTCACTCAAATCAAAAAAAAAAAAAAAAGAAAAAAAAAAGAAAAAAAGAAAGAAAAAAAAAGAACCCCCCCCAAAACCCAGCAGTACTGGATTTTATGCTGTGAAGGAGAGGGGCACCCCGATATTGCTGATCTCTGAACTCTTACCAGCAGATGGTGCTCTGGTTACTTCGTTTTTGTGCAATAAAACAAACTTCAAGAGTGCTAGGCAGCACAGGAGTTACATGCTTATACTTAACTCCAGGGCACTAGAAGTTGCACTGAAAATTGCACTAGAGAATGCTAATCCTGTGAGCGGCAAGATAAAATGACCAGAAAGCCACCAAAAAAATGTCATAAGGCTGTACCACCTTCAACAGCACATGTTAACACGTCCTCAAAGCATCAGTAACAAGAAAGCTTTATTCTAGCGTATGTGATTTGAATACGTGCAACAACCGCACCTGGCCCTCCATATTGCTATATTTCAAAAATTATGATGACCTTTTTATTCATAAAATAGTTATGGTAAATTTTTCCATTTTATTTCAACCAACACCACCTACACAAGTATTGATCGTACATGAGAACTGATTTTCTTTTCCTCGTTATTAAGATCAACATTGTTACCACTTACCAGAAGCAGATCAACATCCTCAGACTGAGTGCATAGGAAAGGAGCATTAAAAATTAGTAAATGTAAATATTTACCAAGATGCAGATTTCTAGTCTAGGGAATAACTTCATGTGATAGAGGCAGCAAATTAAACACTTTCCAAGCATAGTTTGGAAAAATAACACTTCATAGATCTCTTTCTTTATCCTTCTAATGGGATGTTTGTCTCAATTGTGAGGACAATCTACCCAGTTTTCAGCCCAAGATTCTCTCTAAGAATTCACTATTTCTTCCACAGACCCAGTGGCTGCAGACTGTGTTGCTATACCTAGTTTCAGACCTGACCATTCACAGAATCCCTTGGAAAGTATCAGTTTTAAGGGCCTTAGAATAAATCATTTGATGCAGAGAGCTTGTCACTGTCTTGGTTGACATTGAACATTGCCCTGCAGGAGACTATATGTAACTTATCCTCTCAGAAGGCAGCATCACATTTATGGGAGGTTTTAGTTTGACGTTCAAAGTTAATTTATTATGTGTCAAGCTGAAGTAGCCAACTTGGAAGTTGTTTTAATAGTGTTTGTTACATAATGGAAAAAAAAGTGTTTATAATGTTACTGAAATTTACCATCAAAATCCTTTTCAAATTAAGCTCACTTTATGTTAAATCACTCATGAAAGATTTACTTGCAACCACTAACTGACTTTCGGAAGGGAGCTACAAGATACACACGACACCTTCGCAATTCAACCTTCTAGCATAATACCCTGCCTAAATTTTGTTAATCCTGACAGGAGATACAGCAGTTTCATGCTCCTTGTTATACTGCTCTATCTGTTGACTGTCTCTTACCATTACAAAATTTGGCCTTTGAAGCTCAGAGCGATAGAGTTCAAATTAACTTATTTGTAGTTAATCTGCCACCTGCTGAGACTCTGTGTGACTAAATATTTAAGAAAAACTTAGTAGGTTAGGAATACTCAGGGTTAAATTCAGACTTTATAACAAATCCAGGAAAGGCTCTTCCAGCTACTAGGAAAGACAGTGCAGAAGTTTAGACTGTGCAGGACACAGTTCCTATTTTGCAACTCAATAGAAAAAAGGGATGAAGTAAATATGAATTCATAAAAACAATTGAACAGGCTCTGTCTGCATCCTCAGGTTGATGTCAAGACTTAAGGTTAGACAGAAAGACCAAACAAGTAAGAACGTGGAATACTATTCTGCTGAGTTTAGTTGCTTGAGCAGGCCTTGAAATTCCTAAATATCTCTTATCTGCAAGAGATACAAAAAGGTTTGAAAATTCATTACCACTGATGGCATTGTATTCTTGCTGCCAGGTGGAATAAGCACACGGAGATCTGGTTTACGGTTGTTCATTCCCAAATTCATTGGAGGCGGAGATTTTGCTTGCATATTCTTGTTCAAGTTGCCAGGTGAGACCAGCAGACCTGGTGAGTTGCGGGGGTTGCCATAACCATTTCCTGTTTAGATTTAAAAAAAAAAAAAAA